TTCGAGAGTCATACAAGTCTGCCGCGATTCAGTTGCATGGAACAGATCCTGACGGTTTCGAGGGTCATAGAAGTCCGACTGCCTCTCGTCCTAACCTTTGTCGGCTACGAGAAAGCCTTTGACAGCGTCGAAACCAACGCCATCCTGTCCGCGCTAGTCGATCAAGGAGTGGACCCAGCTTACGTGAGGACGTTAGCCGACTGTTACAAGGACTGTACAACGACGATGCAGCTGTTCCATCGCCCCCTGACTATTCCAATTGGGAAGGGGGTCCGGCAAGGCGACACAATTTCGCCGAAGCTGTTCACCGCGGCCTTGCAGTGGGTGATGAAGTCACTGGACTGGGACGAGAGAGGCGTACGAGTTGGTGGGAGATTCCTATCCAACCTTCGTTTTGCGGATGACATCGTCCTTTTCTCGAGCAGTATCACTGAAGCAGAGGCGATGCTAAAGGAACTAAACGAAGTGGGGAAGAAGATCGGGTTGCGAATAGATCGGAAGAAGACTCAGTTCATGAAGAACGCCCTTTGCGAAGATGCAAAGATGGAATTGAAAGGCAGCCCTGTTGTTGAGATGTCTTCTTACGTGTATCTCGGACGTTCAATGAACATGGAGAACGACTCGAAGGATGAACTTAACGGGAGAAGAAGAGCAGCCTGGGCCGCCTTTGGGCCTCTTAAGCAAGCCACTGATCAACTGACGAACCCGGAGCTTCTTGCCCACCTCTTCGACTCAACCGTTCTCCCTGCGCTCTGTTACGCAGCTGAGAGTTGGGCCGACACCGTTGCCACGTCGAAAGCTCTACGGATTACCCATGGAGCGCTCAAGTGCAGTCTTTTGAACATGATCCGACACAAGCAACATCTTGTCGGACTTCGCAGTAGGATATGAGAAGAATGCAGTCTTCGTGGCCCAGCTGACTATGTTTCGAAAGCGAAGCATCGATGGGCCGGTCACATTGTGAGAAGAACAGACGACAGACGGACACTAAGAACACCGGAGTGGATTCCTTGCGAAGCAAAACGTCCCCCAGGAAGAACTCCAACAAATGGGCAGACGTGTTCGTGGAACGGATGGACCAGCTGAGAAATCGGCTGGACACGATTTCCGCATTTGGAACTTGTGGACGCAGCCACCGACGGCAAAAGAGAAGATCGTGGAGTTGTGAAGTCTGAAGCGAGGGGCAGGGGCAAATGGCAACTTTTGTGCTGGGGCCCGCACGCCACGTGAAGACGGGCCATTTAAGTACCTAAGTAGGTAAGTTTACCCTAGATTGACATCAGTATTTTGCTCAAATAAACCCTCATAACTCCTCATCCTACAATGTTCCGCAAATAGGAAAAGCAAATCTGGGTCGGTAGTAAACCTGTCGAAACGCGCAGCTCAAGAGTTGACTCAGAGTTAACTCTGAGTTAACACATACCTTTCAGAGACCATTAACACCTGCATAAGCAAACCAAATTGGGGAAAGGGTGATATGACAGGATGCCCCACAAGACGTACTTTATGCCAAGAATGGAAGCGTGGCGTAACTCGTTCCTCGCAAGACGCTACACGACGAAACGCGCAGATGAACTGCGCGTTATCTCTGAGTTTGGCACGCGTTTCAGGCTCGCGCGAAACTCGGAGTTAACTCCGTGTTTGGTTAGAGAAAAGGAAATAGTGTGCAAACGCGGAGGTGCAGCTAAAAAGTCCTCCAAGGTACATTTTGCTCCGAGTTTCACCAAGATGGGAGTACCCCATGATGGGGGTATCATGGTGCACCGTTGAACACAAAAATTTGAAATTTTGTAAAATTTTGGTCCCGGGAGTTTCCGGACGTGCTGATCACGAATCCGATGCTCATTCTTCGCCTTTCGCCCACATAACGAGGTTAATAGGTAGTTGGGGAAAGTCGCGAAATTGGCTGAAACTCGGTACAGTGGGGTTTTTTGGCACGCTGATTACGACTATGACGTTCATTTTTTACCATTGTCCACATAACGAGGTTACGGTAGGGATACGGTAGTTGGGCGAAAATCACGAAATTGGCTAAAACTTGATCTGGCGGGGTTATTCGCTGAGCTAATTCGGATATGATTATCATTCACCGCGGAGATAGAGCAGGATTACGGCAAGAATTTGGTGAAATCCAAAGTCACATAACAGATTCAAAATTGGTTCGCTTAGTAGCTTACGCGGTGTGTTGATTACGATCACATTGCGCGTTTTTCTACAGCGGTGTATAGCTGAGAAGGGGTACTGTAGACTACCCAAAATCACAAGATTTCATAAAAGTTGGCTTCGTGGGGTAATTCCGCACGTATCATAATATCATAGCCGCTTGAAAATACCTTTCTAAAAGGGGTTTCGATGTATTTACGAGGAAATTGATAAAAAAAATCTCGCTGAGAAATTTTTTCAGAGGAAGTTCGGTTAAATATTTAGTTACCAGTAACGAGCGCAGGATTTCCGTCCGGGGGGGGGGGGGCTACTAAATTTTTCAAGTAAAGGTGCGTGGCATTGGTCACGCACTCAGACAATTTTTTTGGGCTGCTTCTTAACATTTTTTGCTGGCCCATACAACTAAATTCTGGGAAAGGGGGCGTGTCAGCAGCTACACCCCCAAAAAAATTCTTACAAGGCTAATTCAAATTTTTAAAAAATTTCAAAAGATAAATTGGAACTTTTCCGTTATTCGGACCCATTTTTTCAAAGAAGGATATTGCTTTTTTTCTTGTACCATATTTGGTCCCAAATTCACAGGAATGACTTCTGCCACTTGTCAGAAAATTTTGACATGTCATCTACATGTTTAGCAGGTTTTACCAAGGTTTTGTTTTGCACTGCCTAACGATGTTTATTTCAATCTGTATTTAAGTCAATAATGACCCCATTTTCTAGTAAAGAATTTGAGAAACGAACACTGTTATGATAATAACGTTATTCTGTTATCACGAGCAGATTAGATTTGCCCAGAATGGAGAAGTGCGCTAGGATTCCATTATTCAAGCGGAGAAACAAGCAGCAGCGAGATACCGCAGGCCATTATTTATAGTCTGTCCTGACTAAATTCGCATGGCGGAAAGTTTGAAGAGGAAGGCAAGACTGAATTATTGCTGAAGGCGATAAAGATGTCCTGCGATAAGTGCTGGACAGTTTTGCTTTTATAGAAAACAGTTAAAAGGCTTTTAATTGGCAAACGCTTTTTTACCTCACAGGAAATGATTTCAAAAAAAACCAAGTCGAAATGGACTAAAACGTGTCAAATTTTTTCTGACACGTAGCGTGGAGGCAGTCTTCGTAAAATCTACAAAAATTATTCTTTAACTAAAGAACATATGTTATGAGAGCCTTTTGAAAAAATGGGTGCGGATAACGGAAAAGCGATAAATTTATTATTTCCAAAAACGAACAAGTCATTTGCACATTTTTATAACCCAGAAAGTGAATTTCAAAAATTTCGTCACCCATTCTCGGGGAGAGGGGAGCCTCCCTTTCGGTCCGTCACTGTTAGATACTTACTATTTCTTTTCTACTGCAAGATTATGCGATGGGGTTACAGTAGATGTTGTGGACCAAACTTATTGAATTGCTTAAAAATTGCCACTGAGTTCATTTAGTGCAATCATGAACATGCTGTGCGTTTTTGATGAGGATTAATACGGTGGGCATATACGGAAGAAGAGCGAATTTCAGGTTGAGTTGAACTTTCTTAGCAAAAAAGCAATGATAACAGAGAGCGTTTTTTAATTGTGTCAATAGAAACCTCGAAAAATATTTTTCGAAATATCTTATATTATTTAGAGGTCTTTCGAAATTCTAACAATCGATGTGCGAATGACCTGTAGACTTTGTTTAATACTACTGTTTACTACTGTTTACTAGTCTATTTTCACAAAATGATGGTCAATTTCAAGTTTACAAATTATAGATATAGCTCATTAGCAAAATTTTGGATACTAACAGACTTTTGAATTTTATCAAGTATAATAGCATATCAAAATATGGGGTGAGGGGAGGGGGACGGGTTGTTGGGTCTGTCTATGTCCATGTTTTATCCTGCTACTTCTTTAAGAATCTTTAGGATTTATTATGGCTAGGCACCAGTGGCGGATTGAGGGGCGGAGGGAGGGGGAAAGGGGGAGTGAAACTTACCTACATGGGCTATAAAAATGTGCAAATAACACTTGTTTATCTTTATGAATAATCAAAAAAATTGTAAATTTTTTCAAAATTCAAATTAAACTTGTAAAAAATTTTTTTCGGGAGCTTTTTTTCCGTATTATAGGGGCTATAGACCCGCAAAAATTTGAGATGCACCCTAAAAATTTTTTAGAGTGCGTGGCTAACGCCACGCACTCTGAAGATTACTTACTCCTTTAATTGAGAATTATTTTTACCACGTCCCCCCCCCCGGTGTCAAAATCCTGGGATCGCCACTGCTAGGCACCAGGCAAGCCCAACGCCTCTCCATGTGTCTTGACATGTGAGATCTTGATTACGGGGATACATTAAGCATTCGCAGCAATCCACAATAGTGGTTCTTTAGCCTAATGGTCTAGTAGTAGGCACTTGGCGGCGAGCAATGGAAGTTCGAGTCCCAACTTAGTCACAGCGTTTTGCGATGAAGCGTGTGGTGGCTTTTCAACAACTAGAGGGGAGCCTCAAGTAGCAGAACGAAACTCCGAGTTTCAGAAACGAAACTCGCAGTTAACTCGGAGTTTCAAAACGAAACTCAGAGTTAACTCTGAGTTAACGCGCAGCTTTAAACTCGGAGTTTCGGCCAGATTACTACCGGACCAAGAATCGGCGTTCTATTTCAATATGGTATGCATTCCATCTAAAAAGGCCATTTTGACTAAACATGGTTCTCTTGTGAGCTAGTGAGAATAAGTATGACAAATGGATTATCTGCTTCAATAGCAGTTGCCTCTTGCTGACAAATCTCATGTTTTATTAAGTCCAAGATTTTTGAATGTATAGCCTCAAATTTACACCGCTTTGCGAGTGTCATGTCATCACCAGTACCCTGAAGATCAACATCACAACTGTTAAGGTTGAATCGATAGCTTTTCACTTACATGGAGGTCTAGGCAATCCCGGTAGTGGCAGCGGCGGTCCAAGTAATCCTCCTGGTGGCATTGGCGGTCCATGTGGCATTATATGCCAACGTGTGCGTCGCTCCACTTCTTCATACCTTCCTCCCGGAAACATTGCTGGCCCCATTCCGGGTCCGAATGGTCCATCTAGCATCGTTGGCGGCGGCGGCGGTGGCGGTACAGCCGATGGAGATCCTGGCGGTGTTAGTCCGCTTTCAAGATTGTCTCAAAGGAAAAAACTACCTTACCTTGCCCAAATGTGGAATAGGTAAGAACAACAAGTGCCGCAAACTCAAGCAACATTGACAGACTCCTAGAGAAATGTGGGATTTTGACGGTTTTTGAAAACGAATTTTTATCCAAAGTTTAGGTTAAGCAATGCTACCTTAGCCTGCAGTAGTGCTTATGTTGACGTGCAACGGCTAAAATACATTCATTACAATGCAAAAAAGGCCATCAAACATCCTCGCGGTTTTAATGTTTAAAAAATGTTCGCGTCTTGGCACTTTTATATTTGTAATACTCATAACCGATGCAATTAAAAAACCATAACATTTTTTATATTTTTATCAAACTTTTTGCCGCAGATAAAGATATATTACATTTTTCACTACAAAAGAAGCTACCTGCAGAATCAGGGTTTTAGTTTTAGATGAATACAATATACATTTCTTTTCGATGGTATCAATTATCCCCAATACGCGGCTAGCAGTGGCGTACCCAGGATTTCGGCTCGGGGGGGGGGGGCGACAAAAATGTTTTCCTAATGAAGGTGCGTGGCGTCAGCCACGCACTCCGAAAAAATTTCCGGGGTGCTTCTCAAAATTTTTGGGAGTCCCCGACCCCTAAAATCTGGAAAAAGGGGCGTGGCGTCAGCGAGGCCCCCGAAAAAATCTTTAAGGCCAAATTGAATTTTCAAAAAATTTAAAAAATTATTTTAATTATTAGTTCGTTCCGAAAGTAATTTCGCATTTTTCAAACGGGCGCCACAATCGATGGAACAAACCTTTATAAGAGATCTTGGTAGCGTTCGATGCAGAATTTCATTCTCTTTCTAATGGTTATGAAACTGTTGCAAAACAGTCAATGAACTTTCAGAAAATAACCAAAGTCTGCGACCCATGCTTTTTGAGATGGTCATGTTTCACGATTTTCTATAACTTTCATATCAATCCTCAGAAGGAGTTCAAGTAACGATTCGATAGAGTAAACCTCATAAAATACAGTGCAACTTTTTTCTCTTTTCCATAGCTTGTCATACATTTTTAATAGAATTTTAACTGATGCTTCCGATTTCCATACTTGGACAGCTAAATCCTTGTAGAACATCAAAGGAAGAATAGCTCGGGTGCTGTTTGATGCAACATTTTCTCCTCTTTCTAATGGGTGTTTTTTGTTTCCGATTCATTTAGTTTTCGGGATAAAATCATCACAATTCATTTTTTTAAGGAGCCCCAGGCTGTACCCGGAAAACTTGAAATTTGATTTTCGAATCCGTAACTCTCATTTGCTTTATAAATTCAATATTAAGTCATATATCATCTTGAAAGCTTGAAACTCCAAGTGACTACTGATGTTTGATGCGATTGTGGCTGAGGTGAGACTGCCAAAATCCGATGGCTTTGTTAAAAAATCTTTTAAAAAATTACGGCGAGCTACGAGAAAGAGAAAAAAGAAGTACTGTATTCTATGAGGTTTACTCTATCGACTAGTTACTTGAACTCCTTCTGAGGATTGATATGAAGGTTTTAAAAAATCGTGAAACTTGACCATCTCAAAAAGCATGGGTCGCAGATTTTGGTTATTTTCTGAGAGATCATTGGTTGTTTTGCAGCAATTTCATAACGTTTGGAAAGAGGATGAAATGCTGCATCGAACGCTTGCAAGATCTCTTAAAAAGGTTTGTTCCATCGATTGTGGCGCCCGTTTGAAAAATGCGAAATTACTTTCGGAACGACCTAATATTTACAAGTGTAGACAAGTCATTTGCACAATTTTATAACCCATGTAAGTAACTTTCAAAAATTTACCGACCCGTTCTCGGGGGGGGGGGGCGCCCCCCCCCCCGCCGCCCCCCTCGGTACGCCACTGGCTGCTAGCTATATGCTTGTTCGCATAGTAAGTCTTGTAAACACCTTGCTCACCTCTTTCTTTTATGGACAGTACCAATGGGAAGCGGAAGAAATGTTTCGGAACCTGAATAAGTGCACAACTTTCCGAGAAAGGAATTAAAGGAGCAGACAAAATAGCTTGTCTCATTGAGTGCCTGCTGAACCACGCATCAAGTTTTTGATGATTTTCATTTTTGGGAGTCGAAAAATTCCTGTTCATGAAGATTTCATCACAATTTTCTACTATTTTCAAAAAATCTAGTTATCCGTTCTAAAGCACATTCATAGCCCGTAGAAAAGTTGTTGCCTATTGTTTTGCGTATGACTGACACCAACTAGTCAAAGGCTTTAGCACTTTCGCAGTCGCATTTTTCACAGTTTTTCGTAGTCGTCCACCAAACTGAGAGTGATGAGATTTTTATGCTATATAGTGGGGCCGCTGACTAAACTGTCACCTGTGCATCACAGAAAAAATATTCTTAAGCAAGAAAACCGCTCCAGAAAGTGTAAGCGACCACGCTGACTGCGTCCTTCAGCTCGGATGGTCTAAAGACGATATGTTCAAAAATGGGTACAATTTATCCAGAATATCCTAAATTCGCCTTTCATTATGATCATCAAATATGCAGCTTTTCTGTCTACCCTGAAGCTTTTCGGACTTACATTTTGCAAATCTGCATTGGGCGGGACCATTGTGGCCCTTACCATTCCACCTTCTGGAGCGGCTTTTTTTGAAATCATTATTTTTGCAGCAAGAGTTGAGTAACTGCTTAGTTAGGGACCCCACTATGAATTAATATCGGAGTCTCATTGCCACCAATTTGAGAGCGTGCCTTTGAAGATAGAGTCCACACAAAATCTGCTGACCCCAGATTACAACTTATCATCCTACTAGCAGGCTCTAAAAGTAGACCAACCGCATTGGTCCGGTTCCCTAATGTTGCCTACAAAAGGAGATAACGGACCAAATCCTTTTTGCGCTCCGCCCCTTTTTTGCGCTAGACCCACCCACGGATTGCTGAGTAACGTGCTCTGACGTGACAAGCAACGTCGAGACGCATAGTTTGTGATGTGGCACTTTGCACACGACGTGTTTCCTGTAGCATGCGACGTGACTAACGCCGAGGCACTCGTCCACGTCTGCCAAATTAGGGCTTCAGGAAAGGGCAATTTTAAAATTTCTGAAGATTTGAGCTTCATATCCCTAATCGGCGTCATGGAAAGACCCGATAACAATAAAACATTGAAGACAAAATTTTGGGTGTACGCTGCCTTCAAGAGCTGAAACTTTTGCACATGAGTTGTTGCTTGGTATTGGATAAAAGCTTAATAAAGTCCCAATGTGTAAGTACAAGCCAAAACGTACCCAAAAGTTTTTCATAAAACATTTTCGTTCTGCTGGTTGAGAGCTGCATTACTTCGAGTATTTGGCAGCACGGATAGACCATGAATTGCGGGGCATGCAACGCGGCTAAACGCTTGTACTAGTACAAAGCGCCATTTTACTTTTAGATTCAATTGGCTTGGCGGCTGGAAGGCGGGGCTTCGTGACCTAATTAAGGCTAAGTAGCGATCAGAGAGCGCCGGAGAGACACAGAATGCGTCGTGGGCGCGAGCGGCCTCAAGTAGGTCACAAAGCCATGCCTTCCAGCAGCCAGGAAAGTTGAATCAAAGGTTACAAGTCATGCTCTTATAACGCAGCCGCGCCGCCCTTCATCGCCAACCGAAAGCCCGTGCGCTCGACGACTTGGCGATAATTTGGACCTTGAAATAATAATTATTTTTTAGGAGGTCGGGCGAATGACCACGTTCACATGTTTCTACTTAAACTCATGATAATCAGCTTTGCTGACTTATCCACCCGAGACAATATATGATATACCAATTCCATTTCAAGCCTGAACATCATTACGAGTTTCAGTAATCTGTCTTGGACAGATAGAGGAAAAAACTACCCTTTGATTCAACGGGCTTAAGGTAAGGTAATGGTAAGAGAGCATGCGCGCGGAAGAGGCTCAGAATACGTCGCCGGCGCGAGCGGCCTCAATTGGGTCACAATGCCGGCCTTCCAGCCGCCAAGCTTGTTGAATCAAACGTACTGCCTGCTCTTTTTTGGTTCAATAATGATTTCATTTCGAATTCCTAATGATCAGGATGGCGTCATACTAGCCACCAGCATGTTTTGATTTAACGAGTGGAGATTCAGCCCTTAGCACATTTGATTTGGAAAAAGTGGTCGAATCACGATCACATGCTTTTACAGCATTTGGAATTTCCTAGAAGGGTAGACAATTTCGAAATCGAGAGAACCGCGAAGGTTGCTTATGATCTGAATTTTGAGAAACAAGAATGTTTCTATATTGAAGTGTGAACGTCAAGTCCAATTCCAAATAACAAAGTGGTAAGACTTTGACACTAGATAGCGACCAGCCTGACTGACCAGAGCAGTATGGCTGACCAAAAATGATTGAATCACACAACAGAAAAAGTTTGAGGCTGTTACTTTTAAGCGCATTGTTGGGAAGCTTCGTGTCAATTCTGAATATCAAAACTAAAGTTCTATAAGAAAATTTTGAACAAAGCTCAATTCTTCATCCCACGCTATGTGGCGTTTATATGGCCGCTAGCAAAGTGAAAAATGTCCAATCTATAAGTTGCAAGAAAACGCTGATTTTTAGTATTTGATTCGAATTTTTGTGAAAATATGATTTGTTAATGCGGTCCTTTCGGCATAAGGTTGTGTTAACACTACCGCTGTTTATGAAAAAATGCCCAGACCAAGTTTTGGAATGTTTCGAATTTTTTGATAGTTTATGAGGCGCTTATTCCACTGATTCTAGATATGCACAATGAAAATTTTGATAGGTTGAATTTTGAGGAAGTTATCGCAATCTTGCACTCTCAACGTGACCATGGGTTTGATCGACAATGGTAATCAATCAAAATGGGCAAAGAATATAGGGAAAGTGTGAACCTTTTGAACATTTTCTAAAGTAGTTCAAGGCGCTGAATTCCAATATCTAAAATCGACCTATTCTGCGGAGGTGAATTGTAGTAGTACTTACGACGCATGGATGTTCGAATCGCAGAATTTCACGTCTATATTGCTGGTACTGTAATTTTCACAAAGAAAGCTTTACTTGTGTTACTGCCCAAGAGCCAGATCCTAAACTTTATTTGCGGCTGAGGTCTTCACCAACTCATCGCTCATCCTTCCGAGCGTGAGCCTCAAACTGGTGTAGAAAGTACGATCTGGGCTAAAGCATGAAGTTGTATTTTTACCTCAGATAATTTATACGGGCTGTCATGTACAAATTTATTAGCTAAAGCCTTTTATAGAATTCAGCGTCTTTGAGTACAGTAGAAATTCTATTTAAGCTACAACCTAGAACCGGATTTTTAATTTAATCATTAACAATCGAATCACATTTTTGCTTGGACAACGGCTAGGTATCTCACTCAGCTACCACATAAGTATTCAACCTATTATAGATCAATTCTTTTCTAAGCCAGTGGGCATCAAATTCTGTAAAAAATAGCTCTTCTTGATGACGGCAGTCAGATGAAAATGGTATATCGTGCCCGCAGGGTCTTGACGCCGAATTTTTTTACCCGAGCTAGGATGAATGCGGCTTGAAGTTGATAGGAAGTGAATCTAATTGTAAGCAAGGAACACCAATCAGGCAAATAAAATGAAATTGAGTCTTTTGAGCGATTCCAGAACTATTTTTCGTATCTGCAGATCAGTTCTCCAGAAAAAGTTGTAAGCATTTGAATCTAAATTTTCAGCAAGATTCATTCACTTAGCTGTTCAAAAACACTTATTTGTGTTTTTGGTGGATGTGTTCCATACGTAGAAAGTATACTCCTCACCATTTTGACTGAAGTCTCCGAAATAAGAATCCCAAGCACATCGTTCACCAGAACCTCATGTCCTTACATATCCAACACTACACGTTTTCTTTCAAAGAATCGTTCAGCAAATGGGAAAGGTAAATCTAAAATTAGCTCAGCAAGACGCATTTAACGATACGCAATTTGTTCCAGATCGCCAGTGCGACTTTTGGGATCCGTTGTGAGAAATCAATGATGACAAATGGATCATCCTCTTTGATACCTTGTAAACAATGTGTACGATTTTATTAAGTCCACAATCTGCAAAATGTATGTCTTAAATTAATACCACTCTACAATGTCATGCCATCATTAGTAGTTTGAAAATCAACATCACACCTGTTTAATTTGAATCAGTAGCTTTTTTAAAGTCACCTGGTGTCACATAGGAGAAGTTCATGTGGTTCACCTGGTATTTCCTCACCCTCCTCAGGAGGAGGTTCTCCAAATATAATTACTTCACCCTGGAGGGCCACCCCAGGAGGAATTTTTTCAGGTGGCAAAGGCGGGAATCTATCTAGTCTACCTTTCATCGCACTTATCACTGCAGGCTTTGGCGGTGCATACGGCCTTCTTCCGAATCCACCAGGCGTTCTTATTCTCATCCCATTAGACCTTCCAAAATTTGTTCCCCATATTTAGGACTGCGTGCGCTTCTTCCAATTCTTCTTCGTCCTTTCGAAAACATTCCTAGTTCGCATCATTTCCATTCCCGGTCCACCTGGTCCACGTGGCATCGTTCGCGTCTACGGTAGCGGCCTATTAGTGGAAATTTCGAGGGTGGCAGTTCGCCTGGTCTAGCTTGTATCACTCCTTGTGTTGGTGAAGCGAGAGCCTGGCCTCTGCCTCAAAAATGATATTGTAAATTTCTGAGCACTCAAATTTCTGGTCAGGTTTTGTGTTCAAAGACAAAGGAAAAAGTCTTACCTAGTCCAATGTGGAATGAATAAGAGCAATAAGTGCCACGAACTCCAGCAACACTGACAGACATTTGGAGAAATGTGGGATTTTGGCACTTTTTGAAAACAGAGGACTTTATCCAAAGTTTAGGCTAAACGATGCTACCTTAGCCTTTAGAGCTACATATATTACCATGCAAGGGCTAAAATACATTTATTACAATGCAAAAAAGGCCATCCTCCATCCTCGCAGCTTCAATTTTTGAGAAACATTCGCATCTTGGCAGTTTCATATTCGTAATACTCATAACCGATGTGAACGAAAAACCATAATATTTTTTCAAATATTTTCATCAAGCTCTTTGCCGCAGAAAAACGATATATTACATTTTAAACCCCAAAAAGAAAGATACCTGCAGAATCAGAATTTGATTTCTTGATGATTATAATCTACTTTTGTTTTTGATAGTATGAATAATCCCCACTACGTTGTTAGATGTATGTTTTTTACATCAATTTAGGTCTTGTAAGAATGTTTTTTATCCCACTGTTTCATGCAGAGATCGAGCGAATGAGGTACAGGAGGATAGATTGAATCTGGAAGCTGCACGATTACATGCGTATCTAGTTTGTGGAAAAGGAAAAAAAGGATAGTAAATACAGAATGTCCCAAAAGTATGTGTACACGTGATCATTATTATCACTTTTCTCAAGAAGTCTTTGCCCTACTTCCAGGCACTTTAAAGCTGGCTAACTGAGATTCACAGTATGGAGTACGTAACACCGACCGCTCTGTATTCCTGCAGGATTACGGTAGAAACTTCAAGGGTTGTGGGCCATTATGGACGGAAAACTTTTATACCATGTTAAATCGAGCTGATAAAAACGAATACGAAGTCTACACTTTACCGCACTACCTCCTTTGTAAGCTATGCCAGATGAACCGCAGTAGTTGTTCTCATAGTGCTTCTTAGAATTGTGATTCACTATTTGAAAAGCTTTACAAACTCGCCAAAAGTTGAGGAATAAACAATGCGTGTGAAGATGGTACACCACTTTTCAAATTTTCTTGTGATTTTTTTTTGAAACACGACCAATCCGGAATGACGCTGTAAGCTGAAGGTTCCTGCCGTAATCCTACATTAACAGTCGGTAATTCACTTCATACTGCAAATCTGAGTTGAAGCCTGCTCGACAGAATGAAACCTGAAGATTATGGTGTCAACACATTTCCACTGGGATAGCAACGCAGTCATCATAGTATGTGTACAGCAGCATCACATGCAACACTTGCAGCTCTAGTGAGAGGGTTCAAAAATGGCAGGCAATGTACCACACCATGAAGAGTAGCTATATAGCAGAAGTCCCACCCAACAATCGTACCGCATTGGTTGACAGCCGTTTCAAGAATCCCAAAAAGTCCCGTTTTGCCTATTTTTCATTTCAGACAAAATGTGGGAGATTCGCAAAAAAGCTCATTTCTAGCGGAATCGCAAGATAAAGTGAGAGCAACAGAAGAGAGCTCATGAACCGTGTCTTCAGTCCTCGACAAAGAAGGTTCCGAAATCCTTTTATCAAGGTTAATAGAATTTATTGTTAGTGGCGGCCTAACGTTTCGACGTGTTCGTCTTCTTCGAAAGCCTAAAGTGGTAAGAGATGCAGATATCATGCTCTACCACCAAAAACCTCCTCCACCCCCTAGCCAGCCTCGACTTTACTCTCGAAGTGTCACAATCGAAAATAGGCAAGTACGTAAAAGACGAGCTAACCCCCTTCGCCGCTGCCGCTTAGATGGATGTTGAATGCGGCGTTCTCGAGTGCCACTAGTATGAAATACAGTGTATACCATATTGATATTAAACAGTGGCATTCTTGAACTCACACAGCGCCATGAAAGGCATAAGTCAATTGTGACTGAAGCGAACTCATTTTGGCTATTCATGCATGGATTTCTTACACAAATCCAGAATGCCTCGAGAGCTTTTCTATTAGCAGTATCGTATTCGTATGCCATATAGTACATTTAACTTCGAAGTCTTTACACAATGGAATATAATCCTATGTTTACGATGTGGTAAGACATCCCTGCCTCTTGCTGGCAAGATGTTCTTCCATTCGTACCCAAAGTGATCACCGAGGCTCTCCGAAAATGGCGCTGCCTGACACATTCAAGCTCATAGATAACACCAGTCCTACCGCAATCACCAACTTTACTGGATGGCAAACTACACAGTCTCGGACTCTGCAGTAGTTGTCGTATAGTCTGTTACGAACCAGCCGCTTCCTGATGTTGTCATTGGGAATGTCAACCCGAAAAATCGTCTTTCAAGTTTGCCCTGTCAATGCATCGTCACACTGCAGCACTAGTCTCGTCAGAAACGAAGGGAAAGCAAAAAGGTATTTTCTGCTTGTGCTGATTGCTATGAGCAGAAATGGATGGTCCAATGTGTCCTTTTTGGTACGCGTAACCATTCATCCAAGCAATCTCTAGCGCCCTCTTTTTCCTTCCGTTCTTCTTTTTTGTGCATACATTCGTTGCTGTTTTGAGTATGTTACGAATAACAGCTCTATTAACAGCGTTTGGATGTACAGAACGAGCACTGATCAAGATGTTTTTGGAACTCTCTTTACGATACCATTTTACACTCCCTGCCGTTAAACCGTCTGATCTATAGGTTTAGATAGGGGAGCCAACCTTTTTCGGTTGCTGCCATATATGCTGTAACTGTTGATTGAGTACTCGAAAACACTCCTCCATCGGATTGTGTTGATGTTATGACGCAATAGTCGTCGGTGTAACGACAGCACACAAGAGTATACATGACAGGTTAATGCTATGACGCAACAGTTATGATGTACAAGTACTTGAACCTTCCTTTCGTTTTTGACGAAACTAGTGCTGCAGTGCACCATGCATTGACCGGGCGAACTTGAAAGACGATTCATTTCAGTTGAGATTCCCAGTGACAACATCAGGCGGCAGGTTCGTAACAGATTATACGACAACTACTGCAGAGTCCAAGACTATGTAGTTTGTCCATTCGGTAAAGTTGGTGACTGCGGTGAGACTGGACTGGTGTTATCTAGAGATTGAATGTATCAAGTGCAGCGCCAATTACATCGAAGACACTGAGAGGCCACTTTGGGTTGGATTGAAAGAACATCTTGCCAGCAAAAGGCGGGGAATTTCTACCACACCACTTGGTATACACAGGGTTGGATTCCATTGTGGTAAAAACTTCGAAGTTGAATGTACGAAAAGCTCTCGAGGCATTCTGGTTTTTTGCAAAAAATCTATGCATGAACAACCGAAATGAGTGCGCGTCAATCACGAATTCCATTATGTCTTTTATGGTGAGTTGAAGAATGCCACTGTTAAATATCAATATGGTATACATTGTATTTCATACTAGTGGCACTCGAGGACGGCCGCATTCAACGTCCATCTGAGCGGCAGCAGCGGAGGAGGTTAGTTCCTCATTCATGTACTTGAGTATTTTCGTTTGTGACATTTGGGATAAGTCAAGACTGGCTAGGGGGTGGAGGAGCTTTTTGGTGGTAGAGCATAATATCTAGATCTATTACCACTTTAGGCCTCTGATGACGAACCCGCCATTAACAACGAACATCTACTAACCTCGATCGGCTTACCAACATACTAACACTTCTACTAACAATGCCGAGGGTTACCAAAGAGAAAAATTGAAAATTACCCTTTCTCTTTAAAAGGCATGAATAGTACAAGTATGAGAAAACCAAAGTACAGGCGATTTATAGCGCGCAAAGACTGCGGACATATCGGCGTCTCCCTGATCGAGCGCTCTCGTTTTTCCTACCATCTGTTGTCTCTCCCACAGACGGGGAGACGGTCAAGAGGCGCGATTTCTTTGGCTGTCACTAACTAAAACTCCAGTTTAGTGCTATGCTAGTCTTCAGAAAATTACCGGATGAAGTGCATTAGCTTACTATCTGTTTGAGGTCACCACTTGCTGAGTTTCATGGTTTTTGCTATAAATCGGACTGAAATATTTACGAATTTGTTTTGAAATGCATTTTCATGAGTTTTTGACCTTCAAAACTGCTCTTTTACATTTTTTCTAGAGTATCAAGATTGAACAACTCATGCAACTATCTAATAGATCTTCTTCTAGATTTCATATACTTTTAGAAAGTTGCAAAACACTTATTATGTGCTACTTGGTGTCCAGCTGGCAATAAAAATCGCGCCTCTTGACATACACCCCCACAGACGAACTATCTTGGCCGGACGCAACGGCGTGCTGTCTTTGCGCACCATAGATCGCGTATGTAATAAACTAAAAAACTTTCTTAGCAGTATCGGGTTGTTTCGTTCAAATGTTTTCACTCATTTTTATTGGGGCCAGAATCCAAAGAATGCCGAAAGACAAGCAAAGGTATCATTCAACTCGGATTTCTTTCTTCTTTTTGATGGCTATTTTCTCCCCCCCCCCTTCCCCTAATGTGCGCCTATGTTTCCACCACGGCTCTTTGAATAGTCTAAATCTCCACTTTGAGCTTTTGAGCTTTCCTTTAACTTGAAAATGTGCTGGTCCTGTCAGATAAAATAAACCTTTAATCACTTTATGGCCGATGCATTAACATCACCGCCGGGGAGGGGATCGCAGCTTACAAAGAAAGCTTCGTATCATGAAGCTCCAATCTTCTGGATTTCACGCTGTTTACCCATCCGTAAGTATTCCTACCATCCTTCACTATGAACATATTGAATAGAAGCGAGAAGCTGTACAAGCCGCATTTTTTTAGCCTTTTGTATGGTCTCCTGATGATCCCTGGTGGCCGACAGCCTCTTATTCAAAGTCGCTTTTCCTTCTTCGAAGTTAACGAAAACATTTCCAACTTGTACTGAAAATCTAACACAATAGTGCTAAGCATGTTGCTAACAATAAGAAATGAATTCTTGAAAATTTAAATTTTTTGACAAATCTAACATTCGACTTGTGGTTCATCGCAAATCTCTTGACTCCATTGCATCATTTGTTCTCATCAGCAACATGCTTAGGCCCTGGCCAGACTTCGCTCAAAAGCGCCCAAAAGCGCCCAAATTTCTCTGGTGTCTCTACACTTTCTTGTGTGAGGAGAGATGAGAGAGAGTGAGGAGAGGTTAGAGAAGTTTGGGCGCTTTTGCGCGCTTTTGAGCGCTTTTGCGGCTTTTGGGCGAAGTCTGGCCAGGGCCTTAGCATCATTGGGCTAGATGAACGGTACAACTTTAAAATGTTTTTGCTGATTTTGAAATAAGAAAAATGACTTCGAAGAAAAGACGGTCGGCCGCCAGGGATCATCAGATCATACAAAATGCTAGAAATGCGGTTTGTACTTCTTATGCTTCTCGTCCTGTTCAATATGTTCATAGTGAAAAGGATAGCAGGAATACTTGCGGATGGGTATACAGCTTGAAATCCAGATATCTGGAGCTCCAGGATTTGAAGCTTTCTTCTGAAGCCGCGATCCCCCCCCCCCGGGCGGGGATGTTAATGCATGCTCTCAGAGAGTAAGCCTTTGGTTATTTCAGGCTACTTTAGATTATTTTATCATTTTTTGAAGTCCGCAGTAAACGGTTATGCTTTATTTGAAAAAAGCCCCAGTTTACGAGCTACACCGCGCATAGACACTCTGAAAAATTCCGAAGATCTGATTCTTTAAAGTTAATGAAATATAATTTCTTTCAATGGAAAGCGGGTTTCAATTAGCAGTAACTTAAGTTTGGTTGCTTTCAGTTTGAGTCAGATCATCTTATCATTTTCAAAGTCGTAATCAGTATTGCTTTATTTAGGAAAAGCCCCAGATCAGAAAGCTATCGATTACCGTGGACTTCAAAAAAAGATAAGATAGTCTAAAATAAACTGAAAATAACCAAAGCTAAGTTCCTGCTCCTGTTTTTGCTGCAGTTGTAAGTTTTACCAAGAGTTGAGATTTTTGAAGAAATGATTTTGAGCAGCTCTAAACGGCAGATCGGAAGAATCTAAAAGCACTGTACTTTCCTTTTAAAATCTCATAAAAAATTTTGAAATTTAGCTAAACTTTGAGCAGATGAACAATGAAGGCGTTGACCATTATTGGAAAGCCTGTGAAAGGTTATTGTTCATTTGTATGATAATCAGAAATGGAAGAAAGGCTCAATGTATGCTTCTTCGAGCTCAAATAGTGCGCTATTTGTAGTCGTTCAAAAAAACCAACAAATTTTGAAATGACCTGTTAAAATATACGCAGGGAATAAAAAAGCCATGCATTGATAGCACATCATAATGAGGAAAATAAGAAATAAATAAGAAAACAATGTAGCAATTTCATAACTTTCTGTATCTGTATTTGATCTAGGCTGCAATATCTTGATCATTACTCCGGAAATCAAAATGAAATCGGCTAAGTGCTGAGAATTTTTGCACTACTGCGGTTTCGTCTTTACCTCAAATTCATCTAATCTCTTAACAGAACCTCGAAATGCAAAATGATGCAAAATGAGTTTTAGAATCACGATACAACTTAAATTCAACTTTAGCGCATTTTGAGAACTGCGAAGCCTTTTTTGATGCACTAAGATGGTATAGTTTTACTACATAGCAATGCTGAGTCAAGTCTTGATAAAATCAATAAATCTTCGACAACAGTGAAAGAGACAGCCTTTCGAACGGTATTCAGTGGTCAAAGCGAAAAAATTTTGATCGTGCTCACAAATTTAGAAAACTTTCTTTTATTGCATCCAAGATCACCAACAGTTTAGACTAAGTCTAGAGGCTCATTTTTCAAATGATCAAAAATGTTCAATATATTTGGAGAACTGAAGTAAGCGTTAGCTTATATTAGTCCTATCCAACACCTTACAGCTGATGGGCTACTTGTAAATAAATTTGCTTGAGGAGAAAGAAAATTTAGAAAGAAAAAGAAACAAAAACTGAAATTTTAGTTTTTTCAGGCTTCAAAGCTTCCTTTTGGCAGCCTTAGTCCACAGAATGAATGAACCAATCTCTGCAATCGCTGAAAAAATATTTTCAATTTTAGCCGGATGTTTGTTTCAAAGGAAAGAAGATTACGACAGCAAAAATCACTTAGATGCCAAAAATTGATAAAAATCTTTGCATGTACGGCCATTAGATTCTACAGCTTATCGTTCGCCCAAACAGATGACCTTATATCCCAGAGAATATGATATGGGAGAATTATCTAATAGCTTTATTTACGGTGTAATCGTTAGATCAATGTCGCTATGTAATGTCACTCGGCGATATAAGCACTACTTTGCCAGCGATTGATGATCTTGATTTTCATTTTCGCGTAAAGATGGTCCCGACATTCTTGCAGATAGGCTAAACTTGTTTGAAACGGGGCGTCAATTTGAAAATGTTGCTCGGACTTGTAGCAGTCGTAGCCGTTCTTGCACAAGGTCAGTTATTGCATGCTTTTGACAATATTTGAAAATTCACTCAAAAGATATTTCACCTTCAAGGTTTTTCGGCGCAGCGATACGAAATTCCACAACAACCTGTTCGTCCACAGGTGAAACAGTATGCAATTCCGCAGCAGCCAGCTCGTCCCCAAGTGCAGCAGTATGGATTTCTACAGCAGCCTTTTCCTCCTCATGTGCAGCAGCCATATCGCCCTCAAGCGCAGCATGGAGGAATTCCGCAGCAGCTTCTTGCTCAAGTGCAGCAGTATGGAGGAATTCCACAGCAGCCTTTTCTTCCTCAAGTGCAGCAGTATGGAGGACTTCCACAGCAGACTTTTCTTCCTCAAGTACAGCAGTATGGAGGACTTCCGCAGCAGCCTTTTCTTCCTCAAACGCAGCAGTATGGAGAACTTCCGCAGCAGCCTTTTCTTCCTCAAGCGCAGCCAGGTCCTCGTCAACGAGAGGGTTATGCTCGTCAGTATGAAGAGTTTCTGCGACGAAATCCGCAATATGGTACTCTTCCACCGCGGTCTCAACGCCCTTTTCAGTATCCTGTCCAGCAAACTCGTCGTCCGCAGCCGTATGGTAATCGTCAAGGGACGTATGCAAGGCCTGCTAGTGTGATTTACCAGAGGCCAATTTCAACAAGGATTTCCTATCGAAATGTGGTGATAAATCGACGTCCAGTCATACGACCCATCATACGTCCCATCATACGTCCCATCATACGTCCCATCATACGTTTTCCCATCATTCCTCTTCGTACTAATATTCATCGATTTCGCCCTTTTCGTTTTGGAGGTCGCCCTAGAATTCCTCATAGAATTCGTCGTCCTCGTTGATGTGAGGTAACTGTTTTAAAAAAATTTCATTTTCTATCACTACTCTTGTGGTTTATAGATTGCGACCAATGGACGATTTGACGATTTTTTCACTGTGGTGGAAGATGATCAAATTTTTGGGTTTTTGTACAGCTTTATTCCATTGAATGTACAAAAAAGTGACTACAGCCAACACTTCATTTTTGAAAACGTTTACCCTAAAAATAAATTCCAGTGAAGCTTCAAATGTAAATGACTAATAAAGAACAGAACAATTAGCAAAACTACCATGCACCCGTATTTCAATATACCATTAAGATTGCAGTGAAATTAACACCATTCGCTGAGTACAGTGCTTTTTAATAAACCTAATTTGTGAAAGGACAATGTTTGCTTGTCTATCATGCATTTCCCGTCGAACGCAACCACATGATGCAGCTTCAGGAAAGGAAGAGATTACTGATTGCTGCTTGAAAAAAGGAGTTTCTCTGACTTTGTAACTTGACAAGATAACACTTGGTGGCAAAAATTTGCTTTCCTCAGATTATATGCCATATTTATATTCTTGTCTACCTAAAAATTAGACAGAAAATGCCGTTTGAGAATTCTAAAAATTTTAGCTACAGAAAAGAAGGTTTTACAAACTTATTCATTAAGAAGCTTGAATGCATAAGATACAACAAATGGAATGCTGAGTTGGTACAAAAGTTTTATCAGTCTTTTAATCCACCAGCAAATACGATGAAATAAAAACAAACAAACAGTTCAAGCAGCATCTGATGCAAAAATTTTTTCTTCTTCCCAAGTGCCGTACTCTCAATGGGATTTTTTGAAGGAGTCTTGAGTTAATTTATAGAAATTATAACCTTTTTTCACAGCGTCCAGTTTTTGCGATTTTTCAAACTTATCATTAGAGACTTGAAGGGGAGTTTTTTGACCAGCAGGTAGGGCAAACCTTTTGCCAACTTGTACATTTTCCTTTTTTATTCAGCTACTCTCCTAGAATGTTGTCATATAATTTTTCAAGGGTCTTGAATTTTGGAAAAGTCGCTAACCCCTAATTGCAACAAACAATGCAAAATCTTCAGATTGCTGAGGCTTCAACACTCGATCATTACCAAAATTGACCTTATAAACTAAATGAGCAATTTTCGCTTCAAAATATAAACATTTTGGAACTAGTTGTACATCATTGTGCACTTAATTGAAGAGTACTCAATTTTCTCCGCAAATTTCGCGAGTCTTGCCAAGAAAAGACAAGGGCTAGAGAGGGGAAAAAATTGCTTTGAAGGTATTTGAACTATTTACCAATTCATGTTCTAAAGTGTCAGCACAAACTGAATGTAAAATTTGGTCACTTCGAAGTACGTTTTTAAATTTCTGAAAAACATACCTACAGAGTCTTGTTTTAGTTGGCAAAAGGTTTGCCTTATGTGCTGGCTTCAAAAATTCCTAGAAAGTCTTGAACAAACATTTTGAAAATTAGCATTGGACATGATGAAAACGAAGGGTTTCAGCTTTCAGCGTTACCTCTGCCTCTCAACGAATTACACTGAAATAGAGTAGCTGGAAAGAGGACGGAATTCAGCATCGTATATAGCCTGGATATATGTTCATTTCTAAAAAAACTGCACCGACCCAACATAAACGAATGTTGACGTATCCGACTAATTCCTAGAACTCGCAGTATGTGACAAACTTTGTATTCTAAAATTCCATTCACAAACCAATTTATGTACTTCTATTTTGACCTAGCAACAAATAATTCTATAATATAAAGAGTGCATCGCATAATGTTGCTGCGAAGCAAGTTATTTTAGTGGTGTCATGTGCATATGCAGCATTTATAGGTGTGTGCCACTCTTTGCTTCATGAACGTCCAATCCGACCTAAAGCTCATACTGGGCCTGGAGTGACGAGCCATTTTCAAATTGTTTACACCAACGTATGAATTGAGAAAAGGATTAACTAAGCCAAGTTGACAACCGCAATAATTATTGAAACTTCTTATGTGGTTAAACAGAGTACATAATGTATGGGGTAATCACAGTGCGTGTTCGAAATTACGTTGAATTTTGGCATGCTGATGCACAAGCTCACAACATTGTCGCTTCGCAATAACGGCGTACTGTGGATTCACAATAGTACACTAGGAGACCAATAATCTTAATTTTTGCCATAACTTCGCACTAGCCCTAATGGTAGCGGCTCGGCAAATCCTCGTTATGTGGTTTTTCCGCTTACCTAGAGTAATTCGATGCGCTGTTCCGGAAAACACATTGAAAAGCGCAAAAATGGCAAGAACTACCATTTCCCAAGGCGCCGCATTTTGAATTTGGACGAATGGGACGTTTCCCACCATGGTTAGACATGTAGAGTGAGATCATTATGTTCATAGCATTGCGGCATCCCGCCTCTGACGATGTAATAAGGGATATCGCAAGCTCGTCCGAGCGCGTGTAAGAATGGCTTGCGTGCACGGGAAGAGCAATTCTCTATCCAGGGGAAAATGCTGTGCGCTCCGACCTGCTTCGTTCTCATGTTTGGGGTGCAAGCAACCTTGCTTATAAAAATTTCGAGATGTTCGGTTTTTCCGAGCCACTGCCTTTGAGAGTTCTACCAAAAGGCTGCAAAGCGTAGTCATTGTTATGACTACGCTGCGCAGCCTTTGGGGCACTCTTATGTTAATTATATCAAGTGATATCTAATTTGGTTTCTTTTCAGTGAGTTCTATAAAAGTAACCTGCGCTTGATTGAGTTTTTGATTGAGTAGATTTAAAACTTGATCAATTTTTGAGTTCTGTGATGTCATTATTGCCTCCGCAGCAGCTCTCAAACTGTCTTTGTCTTCCATGCAGACCTGGAGTATTGTTCGATACAGTGAAGCAATCTCTACATATTGACCACTAAAGATCCGTCTGTATCGTATTTTAGGTAAGGTTTGGAGCCAAAAATTAATATTTTCCATTACCCTAAAAATTGGATCATCTTCCAGAAATCCTATGGACCCCAACTTGGTCCCTGTACAGGAGGCGCCTGAAATAAGGAGCAAAAATGTGCAAAAATGCAGAAATACAATTTTCTTTGGAATTTGCATTAACTTGGATTTCCCAATCACCAAAGCGCAACAAAGACTTCATTCTATTAGGTTGATGCAAAGTAATGAGCGTTTTTCTAGCCCTGATTTCACGACAAGTTTTTTCCATCACGCTTCGTTCTTTGAAAAAGACAACTTGATATCGAGAAGCTGTTTCCATGCTCTATGCAATGATAGCTGAAAAAGGCTTCTGGCTTCTTTTATATCCTTGCAGAGCTTCACGAGGCCGCACCTGAAACCAGAATTTTATTGCATTTGCTTTTCTGGCTAGTCTCAAGCGTTAATGAGGACTCCTTTTGAAATTACAGCTACTGTACAATACCACCCGTAATTTGTGGAAAAAAATGGCGGCGGCACTTAACTTACGCGGCGCCGCCATTTTTTTTCACAAATTACGGGTGGTATTGTATGTGATAAAATTGTTTTCATGGCACACTTCGCTACTTTTTTCACTACTTTTTTAGACATTATCTCGACTAGATATTGGCGCCTCAGCAAGATTAATCGTTTTGGTCATTTCCATAAATTTTTTTGAAGAAGGCAATTGCCAAAACTCTGCTCATTTCTGTCAGCGTAAGGGTAGGGCTCCCTTCGACTTTTGCAAAAAATAAAAAAATTCCATACTATGGGACATCAAAGGCACCGTCCACTCAGATCCGCGACTTCCATTGATCGCTGATCAATGGAAGGGATCGCTCTGGGGCCTTCGCAGGTCCCATGATGACTGATGACGAATATGAAGTCGAGAATCCGCGAATCTAACAATTCATGTTCTGGAGAACCCGCAGTCCGGCTTTCCGAAGCGGTGATTGGCTGCGGGCGCACGAGCGGGAGGGCATGGATAAGGAGGGCGGTGCCGTCTAAAGTCTTTGTGCACCTTCGTTATTCGGAAGCAATTTCCTCTCTACCGAAGCGACATTTTGCGCTGCGACTTGGGCATTGACTTGACGGGGACCCGACTATTATATGCTGCCGAGAGCTCAAGACCCTCAACTTAGGGTGGAGGATGCCTTTAAGGCCCACGAAAAAATGTTGAAAAAGTTGACAGTTTTCGATTTTAGTTTTTTCTTTTAGCAAATCTCTTTGTTTGACCCCTCCCTTCTTCTTTTGTAGTGACGATTTGCAGCTACAAGATAAGCTACTTATCATCTACATTGATAGCATTTGAAGGGAGTTATGATCAGTTAGAACGAAGTCTCAGAAAAAACTTTTTGTGCTTATCAATCTATATTTTTCCGTCGGTTTGCGATATGAGAGTAGGCAGATGTGCGCTGTACTGCAAAAAGCTTGGTGCCTCTGACGGTCTTTGCCGCATCGAACAATCGAAATCATTTTGGAAGTTGTAGCCCGTCAAAGTGAGAACTCGCAAAACGCGCATTACTTTTGCCAAACCTATTAGCTTATACTAGGCTTGCATATACAATCATGCATATACAATCACATATGTTGGAAGAGCTGGGGCGGAGTTTCCCATTCTTGGAATATTTTAATTCCTCACGTTTTTGAGCTAAAAAACCTAGCAAATGTATGAATACTATTAATACTATTATACTTATTACTAATACTACTACTATTTCTGTATGGCGACCAACTTATACAACTTGAAGCCTCGTACGTGTCTTTTTCCGTAGGAATCTAGCTTACGGCGGTGGAAATTTTCTAGCTTACGGCGGTGGAGATTTCTTCCAATTTTGGTTCCAAAACTTATCTGGATCATCTAGATGGATCTTCAGTGGCCACTATGTAGAGCTTGCTTTCCTACTTAAATCGCAGTTTTTCTTTACATTCAGAAAGTTCACTTCATGTTTTGATCATATCGAAACACTGCTGACGACATCAGAGCTCATCTTTACACGTTTGGAATTCAATGTTTTGAGAATCCTATGTTTGACGCGCCTTTTGGCAATCTCGCTTGCATTTGAATGCCTTTGGTGCTACTGACGCGGCATACTCTTGGCATTATTCGTGAGGAAGTTGTAGACAGGGCTCGGCACGAGGTGGCTAGTTGAAAAAGCAAAAAACGAAGTCCCCCCCCCCCCCCTAGAATCCCAAAAAATTACGAAACCCCCTTTGTCATACTACAATAGCTAAACAGAAAGCTTTATTTTGA